AGATCATGGCTGTTCTGAAAATCCTCAACTCCACTTTCCTGTCTTTTCCCTATAACTTTTGATTCCCTTACTGATTTAAAAAGTCTGGCTATCTCAGCCTTGAATATACTTGATGACCCACTGCTGTAGCCCTCTCTGCTGAAGAGTTCTACAGTTTCACTTTGTGAGAAGAAATTTCACCTCATTTCTATCTAAAATGTATGACCTCTTTCACTGAGTTTATTCCCACTCTCACAAAAGGAGACAGCTTTTGCACTTCTACCCTATCAAGGTTGTATGCTTTAATAAGGTTGCTTCTCCTTCCTCTCTGTTCCAATGAGTTTCGGCCCAATCAACTCCACCTCTCTTCATACGACAGTCCCTCCATATCTCGTATCAACCTAGTGAACCGCCTCTGGACTGCCTTAAATGACAGTTTATCTTTCCTTAGATAAGGGACCCAATACTGTTTAAGTAGTGTCTTGTATAGTTTTAGCAAAATTTCCCTACTTTTATACTCCATTCCCTTTGAAATAAAGACTGACATCCCATTTGCCTTTCTTATTACCCACTGAACTTGGATGCTAGCTCTGTTTGATTCATGATGGAGGACTTTCAAATCCCTTTATTCCATAACTTTCTGCAGTCTTTTTCCAATTATATAATATTCAGCTCCTGTATTCTTCCTGCCACAGTATAGAACCTAGTATTTCCTCACATTATATTCCATCTGCCAAGTTTCTGCCTGCTTGCTTGTACTGTCTATATCTGTCTGCAGACTCTGTGTAATCCTTACCTCTTCCCATCCCACCTATTTTTTGTCATTCACAAACTTGGCTATAGCACATTCAGTTTTCTCATCCAAGTCATTAATATAGATTGTAAATAACAGTGGCGCCAACATTGACCTCTGAAGTACACCACTAGTTACAGGTTGCTGTCCTGAAAATGCCCCCCCTATATTCCAACTCTCTGTCTTCAATTAGTTAGCCTATCCTCTATCCATGCTAATATACTACCTCAATGCCATGGATTCTTATCTTATTAAGTAGACTAATGGGTCAAACCTTATCAAGTACCTTCTGATTATCCAAATCTATTACATCCACTGCTTCCCCTTTATGTATCCAGCTTGTATCCTCCTTAAAGAATTCTAGTAAATTTGTAAGGTGTGATTTCCCCTTCATGAAGCCGTGCTGACTGTACTTAATTGCTTATGTATTTCTAAGTACTCTGTTATTACATCCTTCATGACAGACTCAAATATTTTCCAATAACAGACATTAGGCTAACTGGCCTATAGTTACCTGTTTTTCAGCAACAATAAGACAATCACATGAACTGCAGTGGATCAAGACAATAAGGGCAACTGGGAATAGGCAATGAATGTGAGCATTAAGTGATGCCCACATCCTGATCTTCTCTTGAATGCAGTTTGAAGAGACTCAATAAATAATATCAATATTGATCAGCAGCTAATTGTCAAACTGTTTGACTTTGGGGAAATTGAGTGCAATTGGCAGCATCTGTGGAGAGAAAGCAGAGTCAACATTTCAGGTTCAGTGACCCTTCTTCAGAACTCAATTCTGAATATTGACTCTACATTCTCTCCACAGATGCTGCCAAACCTGAATTTCTCCAGCTATTCCTGTTTTTGTTTCAGATTTTCAGCATCTGCAGTTCTTTGTTTTTTGTTTGACTTTGGGGTTGTGCCATGATGTATTTTGAGTGGTACTTTGTGTCCAGTCCAAGTGTACTTCTGTATTCTTCTAAAGTGATTGTTTGTACAGTTGTTGTTTTTACTTGTATTGACAGTATCTTATGTCAACTACTTTTTTGTTCTTTTTTAGGGGCCAGTATTAATAGGCAGTTCAGAGGGAGGAGTTAATATTGAGGATGTAGCAGCTAAAAACCCTGAAGCAATTGTTATGGAACCCATTGATATAATGGAAGGCATCAAAAAAGAGCAAGCTGTCAAGGTATTACACAGATTCCAAATCTGAAATTTGAATAGGATTTATTTGCATTTTGGAACCATTAATTATATTACAATACGTTTCATATACAGTGATATCTCCAAAGAAAGACATTTCACTGGGAATTTCAAATTGTCTATGTTCAGATAGATGCAGCAGCTTCTTCTGCCACTATTACCTGGCACTTTGAAGTTTTGTGTTGTAAATGGACTAGGTGCTTTGAAGGCCAGTCATTGTTTCCAATTTGCAAATGTTTGTGGTTTCAAGGTGCAATTTTGTATCTAATACAACAAATGTTTTTGAAATGCAGTCAGTATTATAATGATCTAAATTAGGTTTGTAAAAACCAAAAGCCCAGTTTTAATGGTCTGATGTTGCTACTAAATCTCCAGGAAAACTTTCAACTAGAGTTGCTGACCCTGCTCCACCAATATCTCAGATACTGTTGAGCTGCCTTGAAGCTCCCTACCCTTGTTCAATTTGCACCCCATTAGATCTTGCTCCTGAATTGGATTTGCCAGTCATTATGTCTCTATAATAGACACCTAACCCATTTACAGCTTGCAAAGTAGAAAGTTCCAGAATTTGGACATCCCCCTCAGTGGATAAGTACATTGGGAAGGTAATTAACTGGGAAACCTGGCAAATAGAAAATAAGAGATAACAAAGTATAGAGCTGGATGAACACAGCA